ATGTTCTATCATTTCAGCCCAGTAGCGATATTTCTGATGGTTTTGAGGCTATGTATAGATTGCCATGATGTTCGCCAGTTGTTATCGCACAATATTGATGTAATGGTAGGATGTTTGTCTATGTGTCGGGGTAGTGAATGACTTGAAGAGAGGTTTTACTTAGTGCATGATTCAGAGATTCAACATTTTATTTCCGGCAGAGGAAAGGCAATCGGACTACGAATGCTCAGGTTTAGGTTGATGGAGTAACGAAACTTGGTATTTTCAAGCGTGGTGGAATTCTCAATTGTAATGTGGTGTCATCGCCCTTGTTGAACGCGTTAGGTTCGTCGGTGTTATGGTCTTCATCAATTTTCCATCGGGGCTGGGTATCGTGAAATAGGAGAGAATGTAACGACCCGACCGGTCGTTTTGAGATCTAGTGCATCGTTCAGCGGTTTGAAGCCATGAGCAGCTTCCTACAGGTATTATAACTTGTACGTGTGGTCGGAATTGAATTTCGGGGAATTCGGAGTTAATTTGAAAAGAAAATTCTCATTTCGAAAGCTTTAAGTTGGAAAATTTGACTAAGGTGTGATTTTTACGTAGACGACCTCGGAATCGGTATTTGAAGGTTCCAACAGGTTTGTATGATGGTTTCAGACTTGGGCGTATGTTCTGATCAGTTTTTGGATGACCCGGGAGCATCTCGGTGCCTATTATGGAAGTTAGCATTTTGGAAGAATTTCATAAGTTTGGGTTGAAGTGCATTTCAATGTTATCGATGTCCGTTTGGGATTCCGAGTTAGGGAGTAGCTCCATATGGTGATTCAGGTACTGGGAGCGCGCCCGGATATGGATTTGGAGGTCCGTAGGTCATTTCGGGGTCATTTGGCGAATGTTAGAAATTTGAAAGTTTTTGAGAAGTTTGACCGGAACTGGACTGTTTTATATCGGGGTCGGATTTCGATTTCGGAAGTTGGAGTAGGTCCATAATGTCGAATATGACTTGTGTGCAAAATTTGAGGTCAATCGAACGTGATTTGATAGGTTTCGGCATCAAATGAAGAAGTTTGAAGTTCTAAAGTTCATAAAGCTTGAATTGGGGTATGATTCATGGTTTCGGCGTTGTTTGATGTAATTTGAAGGCACAACTAAGTTCATAATGTGTTTTGGGACGTGTTGGTATAATTGGTTGAGGTCCCGAGGGCCTCGGGTGGATTTCGGATGGTAAACGGACCGAGACTGGACTTGGAAGAAATGCTGGGGCTGCTGTCTTCTTGTGTAACCGCACCTGCAAGGTTTTGGCCGCAGGTGCGGAGCCGCAGAAACGGCTAAGATTCGCAGAAGAGAAAAGAAGGAGAGGGGGGCTGCTTCGCAGAAGAGGCAGTGCAGCCGCAGAAGCGAGCCCGCCAAAGCAGACTCTTTGACCAGAGAAGCGAGGGAAGCCGCAGAAGCGAAGAGGAGCATCGCATCTGCGGAGCCGCATGTGCAGCTGATGTAGCGCAGGTGCGGAAGGACAACTTGGCAGATTGTTTTAAAAATGGGACTTGGCCCATTCTTCTTCCATTTTTCACTTGGTGGAGGCGATTTTAGAGATCTTCAAGGAGGGATTTTCATCAAGCAACACAAGGTAAGTGATTCCCACCTATTGCAAGTTAAATACATGGATTCTATTAGGATTTAAACATGGAAAATTGTGGAAATTTGGTAGAAAAACCTAGAAATTGGTATTTTTGGATTTTGACCATGAATTTGGGCATGGAATTGGGAATAAATTGTATATTTGAGTTCGTGGTGTTATAGGTAAAGTTTATCTTCGTAAATTTTCAGAATCCGGGCATGTGGGCCCGAGGGTTGATTTATCGACTTTTCGAGCGGAGTTGGGAATTTGTTTAAATTGAATTATTGTGAGTATTAGAGTATATTTTTATGGATTTGCACATTTATTGACTAGTTTCGGAGCGTTGGGCATCGGTTTGAGTTGTTGGAAAGGCTTGGGAGTCGACTATGGAACTTCGGAGCGAGGTAAGTCTCTTTTCTAACCTTGTAAGAGGGAATTAACCCCATAGGTGAACTAAATTAATATGTGTCTCTATTTGTGGGGGGCTACGTACGCACGAAGTGACGAGAGTCCGTACGTAGCTACTAGTTATGCCTATGTCCGGGTAGTTTTAGGTTTACGCCATGCCTTGTTGATATTGTTATTTGATTTATGTTTATTGTTTGCCTTGAGAAGAAGCGAGATTGAGTTTGCTTGTTAAATGTCTTGAAAAGAGTTGAAATTGGGGACTTTGAGATTTTAAAAGTTTTCGTTTGAACTTCGTATTTTTGAAAAGAATCGAAGAATATTATAATAACTTAAGGAATCTATGTGTAACTGCGCCGCAATTATATTCCGCGAGCGGGGTAAATTTCTACTACTCTCATGGGAGCGGGCCGTTTCCCTAGGTAGATTAAATAGATGCATCTATGGTTCACGCCGTTCGACCCTCGGCAGTGCACAATTTAAACGTTAATGTTGGATCGGGCTGTACGATCTCGACATGATTTGTGCATGATTGAATTGATTGCTTTGGAATTTATACTAAACGATATTGCCTCACTTGCCTAAGATAAATTGTTAAATGATGATAAGAAAATTCGGAGATTTCTTAAATTACAAAAGAATTGCTTACTTCCTTCATAATATTGAGCTTACAGTCGTTCTATTTAATCCATGTGAAATTATATCATCGGCATTTTATTTATAACCTGTAGTAAACATTAGAGTCGACCCCTTGTCACTACTTCTTCGTGGTTAGACTGGATACTTACTGGGTACGTGTTATTTACGTAATCATACTACACTTGTTGCACATTTTGTTGTGTAGGAACATATACACTAGTGGCCTTGTGGGCGCAGTGGCGTGGTTGATACGGGGACTTAGGTGAGATGCATCTTATGTTATGATCTGCAGCCAGTAGAGTCTCCTTTAGAGTATTTGTATTTTCCTACCTGTCCAAATTTGTATTCCGGACAGATGCTGTATTTTTTTATTTTTTTCTAGTTGATGCTCATACACTTGTGACGCCGGATTTTGGGGTGATTATGGGTTGTTCAACATTGAAATTGCTAAAAACGTTATTATTTACTCTATAATTTCCATCTCCTACTATGTAATTGATGGAAAACTATGATTTCAAAAAAAATATTAAAATGAGACTTAAATTAAGAATTTAGTGATGGCTTGCCTGACACCGATGTCTGGCGCAATCAAGACCTTAATGGATTTTGGGTCGTGACAGAAACGCCCCGACTTTGAGATCTTCTAGGAGTCTTATGCATAGTCAACTTCTCGTTTGATAGGACTCCTACTGTTCCAAGGACTCCACAAGTTTTGGGACTCTTTTTCTTATGGAATTATTCGTATCTTCTTGGCAATAATCTTTATCACATCTAGCAGCCTTATTCCACCAAACTCGGACCTGGGTAACTTTGAGATAAAGTTACTGTTTTGCACAGATGTACAATCATCAACCAGAGAAGCTGGTCCTTTACCCTGAGGAGCTGGTTCTTAGAACAGTTAAGCAGCTACGTTGAGGATCTGGTTTTTCGAATCATTGCATCTAAAAAAACTTTGTTACTCATCAAAATCTCAATACTCAACAAATTTTTCCTTTTTGATAATGACTAACTTTGTACACTGTAGAACCAGGTAATTACAACAAGTACCATAGACAGACATGCATATTCACAACACTTCAACCTTATCTTCCCCCTTTTTGGCATTATCAAAAAAAAAAGATGTTAGACAGATGAAGCACAGTTAATGTAAGATTCAAGGCCATACAGACTACAACACAAGCTTAAGAATTATCAAGGCAAACAGACTAGGCTGAAGATCCAATATTGTACGAAGCATTAAAGCATTATAAGAGAAGTCATTAGTAGTACCAAATGAAGCCCAGGGCCTTATCTTAAACCATTAAACAAAATAAACTAAACATACTGCAAGCTACTCAAAGTACAACAGAAAGAAAAAGTTAAAGCATCATTGGGATAGCAAAATGAAACTAAGGACACTGGAAAGGAACAGGTTCATGGGTGAGAGGTAGAGGGGGTCAATGCTTTCACAAGAGTGGCAATCTGTTGGGCATGAGCTTCCTATCTCTTCTAAGCTCTTCCCTAAGCTGCTTGGTTTCTTTTCTCAGCTCATCATTGTCTTCACGAAGCTTGGCATTCTCTTCAACATCCAACTCCAACCTCTTACTGAGCTCTGCTGCCCTGCTGCTCCCAGGTAGAATAGCAGATCATGTGGATCCCCTAGCCTTGATCTCCTCATATCCACACTTCTTGAGGGTAATAGCATCCAAAACATCATTGTGATTTCCATACATAAGCTTAGTCAAGGAAATGTTGAGCTTGTCAAACAGCTCAGTCAACATGAAGCCATACGGCATAATATGCTTAGGCTTGGAAGTGTATGCAACTCTTGCCATATGCTGAATCGTCAGGCTAGGGAGATTGATAGGTCTATCTGTGTCAAGCAGTTCCATTACAGCCATGTCAAATAGGGTTGCTTCATGTCTTCTCTTGAACCTCTGAAGAATGCAGGAATTGATAAAACGAAACAGCAGCTTGTGGAAGGGAGTCATATCAGTTTTGTACACCTTTTGGGGAGCATCTAATTCAAATTTTTGAGAGAATTTTTGTGTGACCACAAGTCCAGTGTCAACATCATTGTCTATGGCTGGCCACTTTTTCTTCAAGTAATTGTCAAATCCCAAAGAAGAAATATTCAGAAGCATCCCCAGCTCCTCAACATCAAACTTCATTTCAAACCCTTTACATTACTTTTGACTACCTTTCCATCAAATTGGAAGTTTGCATAGAACTCCACCACAGTAGGAGACAAACATGAGCTTCCATCCTTGTAGCTCAAGTTTTTCAACCAGTTGAGCCATCCCCTTTTCATCAGTGTTTGCAAGAAACGTCCCATTAAGGACTTTTCTGTTCCTGAACATTTTGAGTCTATCAACTACAGCTGGCATATTCTTTCTCTTCTTTCCTCTACTGGACCTTGCAGATGGGGTAGCAGTTTTTGTAGCTTTGGCAACCTTTCTCTTTTGTGTAGAGGACTTTCTGGCAAAGCGGACTCAGACTCATCTTCTCCATCCGACTCAACCAGAGGTTCCATAATTGAAACTTTCTTCCTTGGCTTCTTGGCACCTCTTGACTCCTTAATGATTTGTTCATCAACAGCCTTTCTTTTACTCCTTGTAAGAGAAGTTCTGGCAGAAGGAGCCACTTCTTTCCTTGTTGGGATTGCAGACTTTATTGCTTTCACAGGATTCTTCTTGGGTTTCTTCCCTATCCCAGACAATGGCATGTCATCTTCATCACTGCTAACCTCTTCCTCTCCAGTGAAAGGAGATAACAAGGGCCTAGGCTCTTGAGTCCTTTTCTTTCCACCTGCTTCTTCTGAAGGGGCTATGACAGTGTTCTCAATGGTTATAGAGCATTCAAATTCCTCGTTCATATTCTCACTCTCTTCCTCACTTTCTTCATCCACCCCTTCGCTCTCACTTGCTTTTTCTTGATCCTCAACCTCACTCAGAACTACCCTCTTCTTCACTATTATTTTCTTCTTCTACAGAATCATTTACTTGTTCATATATCCTATCATCCATCTCACTCTCCTTCTCTTCTCCAGAATCTCCCTCATTCTTACTATTTTCCCCTTTATTAGCTATGCCTTGAGTAGTATGCTCCTCATGACTGTCCACAACTCATTCTTCCTTTTCACCCCCATTATCATCCTCATCCTCCGTCCAACTAAATGAAAGACCATCAGATGCCTCCTTTTGCACTGGTTTTTTACTCCCTTCCCCCTCAACCACAGGCACCACGGTATATACCTCTTTCTCCAGATTGTCTGCAATTTTTTTCTACAGTGAACTCCTCCACTTGTGGGTGGAAGAGTGTCTAAGGGTGCAGTATCTATAACGGATACCAGAACATCTAATTTTGAAGGAGGGATTTGTACCTAACTAGCAGTGACTAGCACTGATTCCCCCTGAACCGCAGCTTCCTGGACCACTGTGTCTACTTGAGTAATAGCATCAGGCACTACCTTGACATTCTTGATAGATTTTCATGGAGTTGCCTTGACATTGGTTGACTTAGAGGTATTTTTGCAGTAGGCACAGATGCATAGGTGGTTAGTTTGGGAAGTAGGGGTGCAGTGGAGGTGGGGATGGTGAAAGCAGTTGGAAGAGGAGATGATGATGTAGGTAAAGTGGATGATATCGATGGAGAAGAAGCAGGTGTTGGTGCGGGTTCACTTGATAGCTTGACATTTTTCTTTGATTTGGGCTTCATGTTCTTGGTTTTTGTTTCAGTCTTGGATAATGATTTAGCTTTAGAAGGGGTTTGGCTGGATTTAGGCATGGTGGTTAGAGAAGAGACTCGATGAAAGGAGAAGAGAGAAGAGAGAAGAGAGAATTGGTTCTTGATATTTGTTCTTTGATTTTTTCTTATGGTTTGAAAGAAACAGTGAGGTCTGAGAAGCTGATCATAAAGGGCTTTTAAAGATGTTACTCCTGATTTCAATGGAAAAGAGAAGGTGACCGAATTTGAGTTCTAATGGGACTGTTATAACAATTACTTTGACTGTTAGGATTTCAAGAGTGATTAAACTCTAATTACTCTAGAATTCCCCCTTACTTTTTGACTAGAAGACAACTAGAAGTGATGCTAACATGATTAAAAGTCTGAGCATAGCAATAATTTAGGATATTAAGTACTAGTGAATTAAGACAAGATGACACGTACCTAAGTCTAAGAACCATATCCTTAGTAGCTCCTTACTTTTTTCTGCAATAAAGCTTCAACACTTCACATTAGTATCATGTAACATAGTTACTAGCCAGATTTTCTAAGTAGGTGTGTGTTGTTAATACAAGCACGAGTCTGAATCAAACATATTGTACTTAACTATCTACATCTAATTATACTTTTTCTAGCCAATCATTGGGGTTCATCTAGTTGGAAGTATTGATTAGACCTAGTTCTAGTTTGTTCCTTTCAAAGTGATCTCTACTCTGAGCTTTAATAAAAATACCAGAAATTTGATCTTCAAATTTACAAAAGGTAATTGAGATATTCCCCTTTTCAATATTGTCTCTAAGAACGTGGTGTCTAATGTCAATGTGCTTGGTTCTCTTGTGTTGAGATGGATTTTAAGCAACGTTTATGGCACTAGTGTTATCACACAAAATGGGAACACAACAACAACAACAACCCAGTAAAACCCCACAAATGGGGCCTGAGGAGGGTAGAGTGTACGTAGACCTCACCCCTACCCCCGGAGGGATAGATAGGCTGTTTCTAAAAGACCCTCGGCTCGAGAAGAAGAAAAATAAACAATAGACAATAGACAATAGATCAGTGACAACAATAGAAGATAAAAAATAGTAACAACATCGTAAGAAATAGTAAAATAGATGTAAAAGCAATAACTATAAACAACAATACTACCATAGGAAATAGTGAGGAAACTACATAAACCACCAACAACCCATAGCGAAACATCAACAACCCCGCCCCTCCCCTGGAACAACAAAGAAAAAAATGCTTAACTCCCTCCTAACCTATAACCCTAATGCTCGACCTACACCCCTTCCTATCCAGAGCCATGTCCTCGGAAAATTAGAACACAATCAACAAAAATACCATAGTCCCTTAGTTGTTGTCTTATCCATAGCAACTGAGCACGGCAGGATGCTGCTGCCACATATTCAACCTCAACTGTAGATAAGGCCATTGAGTTTTACTTCTTTGTTCCCAAAGACACTAGATAAGAACCTAGAAAATGCATTGTTCCTAAAGTGCTTTTACTGTCAACATGAAATCCTGCATAGTCAACATCAACATAACCAACTAGATCAAAGCTATACCCTTCGAGATACCACAGGCACAGGTCATGAGCCCCCTTGAGATATCTTAGTATCCTCTTGACAGCCTTCAGGTGAGATTCCTTGGGATTTTCCTGAAATCTTGCACACAGTCCCACACTGGATACAGTATCAGGCCTGCTTGTTGTGAGGTACAATAGTGACCCAATCATTCCTTTATATAGTTTTTGTTCAACATTTTTCCCTTCTTCATCAAGGTCCAGTTTTGTTTTAGTGGAAATGAGAGTGTCAATGGACTTAGAGGAGTCCATGTTGAACTTCTTTAACAGTTCCTTGATGTATTTCTACTTATGTATCATGATTCCAGTAGGTGTTTGCTTGATTCGCAGCCCCAGGAAGAAGTTCAGTTCACCCATCATGCTCATTTCAAAATCATTTCCCATCTTCTCAGAAATTCCTTGCACATTGCTTCATTAGTAAGCCCAAAGATAATGTCATCCACATACACTTGCACTATCAAAATATTCTTGCCATTGCTCCTTAGAAATAGAGTGTTATCCACCTTTCCTCTTACAAAGTTGTTGGTTAAGAGGAATTTTGAGAGTCTTTCATACCAAGCTCTTGGAGCCTATTTCAGTCCATAAAGAGCTTTATCTATCTTGAACACATAGTCAGGAAATTCTTCACTTTCAAATCCAGGAGGTGTTTGACAAACACTTCCTCCTTCAGCTAGCCATTTAAGAAGGCAATTTTTACATCCATTTGATACAAGGTGAACTCCATGTATGCAGAAAAGGTTATCAACATTCTTATAGCTTTTATTTTAGCTACAGGTGCAAATGTTTCATCATAGTCAATGACCTCCTCTTGATTATATCCCTGAACTACCAGTCTGGCCTTTTTTCTTGTGATATTTCCTTGTTCATCCAGCTTGTTTCTGAACACCCTTCTGGTACCTATGACAGTTATGTTCTTTGGTCTTTGTACCAAGTGCCACACCTTGCTTCTTTCAAACTGATTTAGTTCGTCTTCCATGGATATAATCCAGTATGGATCCTTTAGAGCTTCCTTGGTGGTCTTAGGTTCAACTTGTGAGAGAAATGTTGTTAGTGCACATAGATTTCTCAGAGATGATCTGGTTTCCTGCATTTGGATCAGAGATGATGTTCTCAAGAGGATGTGAACTTTGATGTTTCCATAATCTGATCTGTATACCCAGAGAAGATTCACCAAAGGAGTGACCCAAAGGAACAAGTTCATTATGTGTGGCTTCATCAGTCTGGTTAGCAGTCAGAATAGTTCTCTCTTCTTCTTGTTCCTCATGATCACTGTCAATTTCCTTGTTGTCTTTGGATCCATCTTCATATTGAGATTCAGATTCCTTTGGAACTCCATCACCAGTGAGTCCTATGTCATAATCTTCATCCTGCAGACATTTCTCAACCAAATTATTATATTCATCAAAGATAACATAAATATTCTCTTCTACGCACATAGCTCTTTTATTAAAAACTTTATAGACCTTACTATATGGAGAGGAACCCAAGAAAATCCCCTCATCACTTCTGTCATCAAACTTACCTAGAGCTTCTTTTCCATTATTATGCACAAAACATTTGCACCCAAATGCTCTCAGGTGCGTGATGTTAAGTTTTCTCCCTCGAATTAAATCACAGGAAGTTTTCTCAAGAATGGGTCTGACCATGCATCTGTTCAGTAGGTAACATGCAGTATTGACTGCCTTAGCCCAGAAACTCTTAACATGGTCCTCCCCATGTCTTCTAGGGATCTATTCTTTCTTTCTACAATCCTATTTTGTTGTGAAGTTTTAGGTGCAAAGAAATCATGGGTCAATATGTGATCTACAGAACTCAAGGAATTTGGAATTTTCAAACTCAGTTCCATGGTCTATTCTTATACTTAATACATTGCATCCCAGTTTTTGTTGAATCATTCTTACAAATACACAGAAAACATCAAAGGTTTCATCTTTAGATCCCAAAAACAAAGTCCATGCATACCTAGAAAAGTCATCAACAATCACAAAAACATACCTCTTTCCTCCTCTGCTTCTTACTCTCATTGGTCCACAAAGGTCCATGTGAAGGAGTTCCAGAGGTTTATAGGTACTGACAAACTTTTTAGATTTAAAAGGCGACCTTACATGTTTCGCTCTAACACAGGCATCACACACCTTGTCTAAGGAGAACTCAACTTTTGGTAGACCAAGGACCAAGTCCTTTGCTCCCAACTTGTTGAGTTGAGAAAGACTTGCATCACCTAGTCTTCTATGCCACAGCATTGGATCATCTTCCACTACGCTTAAGCATGTGTGGTCACTCTGGGAAGTGACATGATCGATATCTTGTAAACACTGTTATGTCTCTTACCTTTTAACACAACTTCATCAGTATCAAGCTTAGTGACAGTGCAAATTTTGGAATTGAATTTTACTTCATTTCCTTTGTTACATATTTGAGAGATTCTAAGAAGATTGTGTTTAAGTCCTACCACATAATATACATCTTTTATAGCATGAGAGAGTGACTTACCAACCTTGCCAAAACCTGTTATCTGGCCTTTTTCCTATTTCCAAATGACACATTCCCTCCTTCGAAGGCTGTCAATGAGAGGAAGTTTTCTTTTCTCCAGTCATATGTCTTGAGCATTCACTATCTAGATACCAGTCTTAATTGTTTTCTCTCACTTCATCCTGCACCAGAAATCACAAGTTAGTTTTAGGAACCCAAAAAAGCTTGGGTCCCTTTTTGTTTGAAAAAGGAAGAATCGAATCTCTTCTTGCCCAGAA